GCATACTTCCAGATTCCGCTGGCAGAGGAATCAAAGCCTTTAACCGGTTTTGTGATACCGAATAGAGGCCTTTACCAATTTAAAAGGTTGCCAATGGGTTTACATTCGGCACCTGCAACGTTTCAGCGGTTTATTGACCAAGTGGTTGGAGTAGACCTAGAAAGATTCGTCTTTGTATATTTGGACGACATCTGTTTTTGTACACCGACTTTTGAAGAACATCTCCGAGTACTCGAAGAGGTGTTGTGTCGTCTAAAGAAGGCTGGTCTCACTCTCAATAAGAAGAAATGTCAATTTGTCAAGCCTGAGCTTAGATTTCTAGGCTATGTCGTAGATGCGCAGGGATTAATGGTAGATCCCCAAAAAGTAGAAGCCATTTTAAATATTCCTACTCCCAGAAATGTGGGAGATGTTCGTCGTTTTATCGGGATAGCGTCTTGGTACCGACGGTTTGTGCCAAACTTTTCTACGTTGGCAGCACCGTTATGTAACTTGTTAAAAAAGGATGTTAAGTTTGATGGGAATAGTGCGTGCGAAGATTCGTTTATCGGTCTTAAAGAGATTTTAGTCTCGGCACCTATTTTATCTTGCCCAAATTTCAACTTACCGTTTATTGTACAGGCCGATGCTAGTGATTTTGGCGTAGGAGCTACTCTGTCACAAGTATGGGAAGACGGAGAACATGTTATAGCCTATATGAGTCGGTCATTATCTAAAGCTGAACGCAAATATTCCACGACCGAAAAAGAGTGCCTTGCTGTTCTGCATGCCATAGAACGGTTTAAACCATACATCCAAGGTACCAAATTTAAGGTTATTACTGATCATTACAGTCTTAAATGGTTGAATACCATAAAAGACCCGGTGGGAAGAATCGCCCGATGGGCGGTGCGTATGCAACAATATGATTTTGATATCGAGCATCGGAAAGGCAAAGATCACATTGTTCCAGACGCTCTTTCCCGTTCTGTACCTTGTGTGGATACAGTATCCACGACGACAGTTAACGAAGAAATTAAGGACAAATGGTATTTGCGTATGCGGGAGCGAATTGTCCGAGCTCCTGACTCTTTTCCTGACTGGAGAGTTGAAAATAATCAACTTCTTAAATTAGCCCAAATTTCATATCCAGACCTAGTTAGCAGAGCCAATGAATGGCTTATTGTAGTCCCTAAAGAGAAACGGCCAGAAATCATCCATATGCATCATGATATGCCTGTTTGCGGACATATGGGCATATACAAGACTCTAAACCGAATTACATTTAAGTACTACTGGCCTAAGATGAAAGCCGATGTCGCGCGATACATAAAAAATTGTACATCCTGTATCATGTCGAAACCTGAGCAGCAACCAGCTAAAGGTTTAATGTTAAGCGCTACACCTACTACCACTCAACCCTTCGAAATATTAAGTGTTGATATCGTCGGACCCTTGCCCCGATCAACTTCTGGGTTTTCTTATATACTAACTGCAAGCGATTTGTTTAGCAAATATCTTTTACTCTTTCCGTTAAGAAAAGCCATTGCGTCCAAGATTGTTGAAAATATTGAGGATCATGTAATACTTATGTTTGGGGCACCTAGAAAAATAATAACCGATAATGGGTCGGTCTTTAAGAGTAAAGATTGGATTGGTCTGTTAAAAAAATATCAGATTGAACCTGACTACACATCTAATTTTCATGCCCAAGCCAATCAAGTCGAACGTTACCATCGCACCATTAAAACGATACTAAGGTCCTATGTTACTGATAATCACCGGTTATGGGATCGATACCTCCAAAAAGCTGCGTGCGCGATTCGAACTGCTCGTCATGAAGTAACCAAATTGTCCCCGAATTTTATTACATTTGGACGTGAATTAACCTTTAATGGGGAACGAAACTCCGCTGTATTATCTGATTTACCTGACGTATTTGACCCTCACTCTCGCTGTACCGCGTTGTTGGAAGTTTTTAAAGATGTTGGTGCTAGATTAAAAAAAGGATTTGATCAATCTAGGAAACGCTACAATCTTCGTCGGAGGAATGTTATCTTCAAGGTTGACGACCAGGTTTGGAAACGAGCCTACGTGCTATCCGATAAGGCAACAGGTGTTACCTCAAAGCTAGCTCCTAAATTTGAAGGTCCCTTTAGAATCTGCAGAGTTCTGTCACCGTGGTCCTATGAGTTGGTAGATTCGGCTGGGAAATGTCGAGGCGTATGGCACGCCAAGGACCTTAAGAGTCATCCACCAGATTCTGACGATACCTCCATTGTGAGCGATAGCGATTAATTAATTATGTAAATTTTATTTTCCTTTATCTGTTTTTCTGAAATAGAGATTTGTATATACTATAGGTATAACTTCTCGGGAAAGGGGGGAGTTGTTACGGTTTCACCGCAACAATATTTTCAAATCAGAAAGTCTAATTAAAATAAATAAGTAACTTACTTAAATTAAAAAGCAAACCATATTTACAAACTTTATTTACAACTTCAGTCATTCCATACTCTCAGTTCCTGATATAAATAAGTAGATAATTGATTTGTTTACAAAAATTGTTTGTACATTGTTATATAGGTTAGGTAGTTCCAATCTGCTATGTCAACCTAAGTACTTCTTCTTTTATTTTAGTCCTTGGGTATCTTAAGTAATTTCACTTATTGGAAGGTGACTAATTGTCTTAAATGGTATAAGCTTTTGGTCTGGGAGAGGAACTTCTAGAAGCTTGATTTTTTCCTCTAGTTTTTGTGGAAATTGTTTTTTTTTTTTGGGTATATCTTGTGCTGGTTGCAGTTATCGTTTTACGGATTTTATACTCTGAAACAAAAATAAACTGGTTAAATTTGAATTACTAGTTTTCTGTTGAAAATTTGCACTATAAGTGGATTTCCCGTAATTCAATTTAAACCTTTGAATTTCCCAAGGCCGATCCCCAACTTCGGTAAGTACCTCGTGAAATGTACAATACCCTATACCTATTTTACATTCTGTTTTTATATTTTTAGGCCTTTTTCTTTTTCTCCTACTCTTATTCTATGCTTTTACTCTTCGTTCTATTTTCTTAGACATACTTATATTGAAAAAAACTACTTAACTGATTATAAGTAACACTCAAGGTGACGTTGATGGCACATCAGATAGAATTCAAGATCTTAATGCATGCTGCTTGTTGCCTGCCGCAGTCCTCCAGCGCTGTTGATGCTATTTCCTGCATGTTGCTTATTTGCTATTCGTCCTATTTTACCAGCTCGGTTTCGTTCGCTAGAGCCTGCCTGCTGTTTAGTGCCTGCATCTTGAGCCTGGAAATTGATTGCAAGTAAGAATTTTCCAGTTTTATTGTATCTTTGTTACTGGTGGTTGAGCTGAAACGAAAATAATTCATCATTAAACTGTTTGTGTGATAATAATTCTACCTAAAATTTATGTAGTGTAAATATATTAACTTACGGTTCTGTGTGAACCAATTGGTCCAATTGGGGCAACCCTCGGTACTGGGTATCCCTTGTATATAAAATTAATGTCACCAAATATCACGATAAGCTAGAAACTAACCAGACAGATTGTCTATCCAATAAATGTATGCACCGCAAGTTTTGTTTTAATTGGGTGCATGAACCCCTTTTCGCTCTCGTAACAAATAGCTAGCCCAGAATACATAAGTATAGAATACAAACTTGTAATATACAAAGGGCTGTAACAAAGTACAAAGGGCCATTTAAAATTATAGAGGTTCTGCCTAATGACCGATATAAAGTTAAAGAAGATATCCATGCGAAGAGATCAAAAAATAATATAGCTTATGAAGGAGTATATTGTGTAGAAGACATTAAGATATTTAACCTTCGAAAATAAGAACAAGGTAAATATACAATTATTATGCTTTTGGTATAAAGGCCTCTAGCAACTTAAAATGTAGTAAAAGTTAAGATACACAAAAAGGGGCTGTAGGTATAAAGGCCTATAGCCATAGCAATTTAGAAACTGCAGGTATAAAGGCCTACAGTGATTTCAAGTTAGAAACTGCAGGTATAAAGGCCTACGGTGATTTCAAGTTAGAAACTGCAGGTATAAAGGCCTACAGTGGTTTCAAAGTTATTTCAATTAGTGCTGCAGGTATTAAGGCCTCAGTGAATAACAGATTTCAAGTATCATTGCTTGGACTACTATGTTCGTATATTAGAAACCCTTAAACATCACCCATTTTATTTGTTTTAGATAGTACATATGTTCGAGGACGAACAAACCGTAGGATGGCCGTGTTAGCAACCCCGTAAGAGACGCCGCTGGAATATCTAGTACTATGACTCATTAGGCGATAAGTCGAAATCACCAGAAATTATATAAGCGTTTTATTTAGATATAGGGCATTATTGTGCGAATCATTATACAGTTTAGTCGAATATAATAAATAGTGAAGTTAAATAGTCGAGTTTAGTGTTACAACCCTCTCCTAACACGTACTAGACATTTTTATTTTCAACCATATTATTTTGTTGATTTATTCTGTTTTTCTTTGATGTATTAATAAATACATAGTGTTTACCAAGGAGTATCATTATACAAAATAAATAGGCCTTAGGTGGCACAATACAATTAGAATGCTGTTCTTTTCCTAAGAGTCATACTAGTACTAATTTAGCAGAGGAACTCAATCGTATAGTAACTATGTCGGGATTAGAATCAAAAGTTCTTTTAGCAGTGTCAGACAACGCAGCAAACATTAAGAAGGCAATAAAATAAGATCTAGGATAGAAGCATTTTGGATTTTATGCTCATACTGTAGACTTAATTGTACAGGATAGGCTAAAAGTAGTTTCACCAATTGTCACTAAGCTGCGCACATTAATGGAACATTTTAAAAGAAGTACTAATGTCAGTAATAAATTGATGGAAGTACAAAGATAAGCCGGAAAAGAGCCAAAAAACTTATTCAAGATGTTGTGACCAGATGGAATTCCATTATCTATATGCTCGATAGAATTTTGGAATTAGAGGAAGAAGTTCGCATAACTATGGACTTATTAAATGTGAACAATCTTTCCATCATATCAGTTGAAGAATGGGGACTACTTAAACAGCTAAGGAGGTGTTTGAAACCTACGGAGGTAGTTAGTAAAGTGATAAGTGGAGAGAAATATGTGACTTTATCGTCAGTGATAATTTTAACAAAAGGACTGGAAAATATTTGTCTTGAAATGAAGAACGAGGATCTCTTGCCTTTAATTCAAGATATGGTCGGGCAATTTCTAAAGGGAAATTCAGATCGACTGGGGTACTTAAAAAATCCTAAAACTTTGCTGGTGTCTACTTTTCTGGATCCTCGATTTAAAAATGTCGGATTTTCTTGCGATAGTGTAACTGAACGAGCCAAGCAGTTAGTAATAAAACTAATATATCAAAATTTTTTTTTTTGTAAATTAAAAGAAACACAGCAGACTCCTTCCACCGAAGTCGGTTATGTAGCCCATCCTTCTATATTGGACCATTTTGCAAAAAAAGCTGCTTTCTTCTTATCCAAAGCACCTGACAGTCCTGCAACATCAAGAGCCGTTATTGAGGTCCGTCAATACTTGGAGGAAGATCTCTTGGATAGAACTGAAGATCCGGTAAAATGGTGGCGTTATCACTCTTACAACTTAGAAAAATTTGGTACTGTCGCAACATCTGTCTCTTGTGAACGTATTTTCTCCAAATCGGGATCGCCTAAGTGAAGGTAAAGTACAAAAATTTATGTTTTAAAATGTCAATAGCGATCTTTAGATTTGTGTATATTTAATAATGGATAATAATTAATAATAACACAGGGCAACAAAAAAATATATTTTTTTTGTGTTTAGGATTTTAGAGCTGATTTTAACTATATTTGGGACGCTAAATATGTACATGCAATCCGTTTTTCTCTATCAGCTCTACTTTTTTAGATACATCAACTTATCTACCAATGTGGTTTTTATTCAGTATATTCATTGATGAGGGTTCTTAAATTATTATATATTCATTAATGTAGGTACAATGGTTTTATTGTCAATTTGTAATTGAATAAATTCCAGGTAAATCTATAAATAGTGGAACCATTGACTATCACGTATCTGAACTGAACAATTATAATTGATAAGGAATATCTAAATATTTTTACCTTACGTCTACTCTGGGGGTCGATTCTCGACTCGTAGGAATTTTTTCCTATAGGAATTTTTGACATTTTTCTATACATAGAAAATTTATGACATTTCCCTACATATAGGAAAGTGTCACAAATTCCTATAGGAAAAGGTTCCTACAAGTCGAGAATCGACCCCCTGGTGTATTATCGGGAGTATTATTTTGTTTTTAGGCCACAGATGTGCTGTATTTTTATTTCACTTTATTATTAATGTTTCATTTAGTAGATATTAGTTCTATATCGGTTTTGTAGATTTTTCTCAGTTTTTTTTGTGTTAAACAAATATGTTTTTACTTAGGTAGAGGAATTTTAGGCAATCATTTTTGTTAATACCGTATACTGTTTTGATTTAAATTCATGTTTTTCTATAAATTGTAGAAATATAGAATTTATAATAATTACTGTGTTTTTTACCACAATCGAGCTTTTTATTAGATGACATATTATCGTTCCATATGATCGCATGCCACAAATGACAAATAAAAGCGATCTGCTCGCTCCCAATATCCGTTCCATTTTCAAAGTCTCGTCCCTCAGCTTGTCACTGTCCCAAACAAAATCCCAAGAACAGCGTCGTTTCACAGAGCAGAGTCGCGGTCCGCGGACTGAAATGGTGCAAAATTGCAAAGCAGCAGAATTAAACGTGACTGAATGTCACGGCTATTTTATATCGGCTGGAACAGACTTTGACTGTGACAGCGTTGTAGCCGCGATAATGTAACAGTTCGTGAAATCGCAACCCACCTCTAAAACATTTATGGCCAAATTGGAACAATATATTCTAAAACTTTTAAAGATATACCACATTTACAATATGTGTCTATAAAATCTAGTATAATAAGAGATATTCAATAATCAGCGTTTTTAAAAATGGTAGAAATAAAAGATGTCAATATTCCATTTTTAAGAAGAGGAATTTTCCAAAACGTCCCAGAACTTATCTCTATCTATATTATAAAATGCAACATATACAGAAAACGAGCCTTTTTAAGACGTGACAAAATTTTAAAATTTATCTTTGATATTAAACAAGTTAAAATGGATTTTAGGTAATAATTTGATCTTTCACAAAAATTAACATCATTTTCGCTTTAACACAATTTAATTAGATTGCGCTACATAAATTAACTAATTTGGAATATCTTTTTTTTTTTATTACATATGGGTGTGTGAAAAAAGAAGCGTCTGCAAAGGGCATGTTTGGACAAAAAGGGATTCTCCTGTTGTAGTAAAAATTGTCCAAGAACATCTTCATCCTGCAGAGACAACTAGAAGTGAAACTTTACGAGTTTTCCAATCAGTTAAATAAACACCAAAAACCACACATGAATCCCCACAACAAATTTTGGCGACTGCTGTCTCAGGTGTACACAGCAACGTTAGTGCAACATTATCTAGGACAGCATTAAAAGAAGCATTCGAATGAGTCGGAAAATTATTGGAATTCCATTTCTTCCCCAACAGAGGCTCGATTCTCGAGTTAATTGGAAAATTTTCCCATGGGAAAATATTCCACTACTTATATTCCCATGGTAATACGTTATGCAATTCTCGAACTTGTCGGAATAGATATTCCCATGGAAATAGTAGTTTCACGTATGTCTGATATTAAGTCCACGAATATTTCGCAACAACAAAGATATTTGAAAATTTACTGTTTGCATTATTTGTATTTGTTGTGGTTTTTGGGTAACCGATTACCTGCCGAGCCTACGCGCTGGAGCATGTGCCGTGCCGAGCTATCGCTAGCATGACCGAGGAACAAGTGAAAATATTCGATTATGTATAATTAAAACTTGTCGAGTTATTCTTAGTTTTCCTTTCACATGTTGAAAAAAGAAAAAGTAGCTTTTGTATGGAAGAGCAACAAAAGTTTCGAGAAACTAAGAAATTCTTTCGTTAACGGAAATAATAAAATTTTCGAAAAGGTCTTATTAAATTTACTAAAAATTTCTCAATTTGTGTTATTAGCAGCTCCCACAATTTCTAACTGATTTAAGAAAATCAGTTCATACAGTTTCTTAGTAAAAGAGAAGTAAAAATAATACATACATAAATAAAATAAGATCAATCTATAAATACGCCAAAAAATGTTTTAACTACAATTTCACCAAAAATCCAAGATATCCAATAATCTTTGGTTATGTCTTAGTTTTTCGTCAAATTTTCGACTTTAATGCGCAAGTACAATTCCCATTGGAAAACAGAATTTCCAATGCTCGTAAGCAGGGGAATATTTTCCCATACTTCTCATTGGAAAATATTTCACCGCTTATGTCGAGAATATGAAAACTAAATTCCCATGGGAAAATAAAATTTTCTCATGGGAATAAAAGTCGAGAATCGACCCCCAGACAGGATATGGTTATTCCAGAGGTAAGTTTAAAATTAACTTATTAATGTGACTTTTTAGGAATGTTGATGGTACTTTTAGTGCAGCTCCAACTATTTTCAGCCAATTGTACACCATATACGCAAAAGTCAACAAAATTTTTGTCAGCTGTATATACTTTACTTACAAACAAAACAAACCTATTTACGAGTACTGCAAAAATTGAAGCAATTTCAGCCAGGCTTACAACCTAGGACTATTATGTCTGACTTTGAACTAGCATCGATACACGCCTTCAGAGAGAAGTTTTCTGGGATGAACGTGACAGCATGTTTCTTCCACTTCTGTCAAGATATCTGTAGACCCATCTTTATCTGTATCTTTATCGGTTGTAAGCAGGTAGGGTTAGGTTTGGCCCAGAACACTGCGGCCTCATGGGTCTTTTATATCAAGTGTTCCTGGGGCGTTTTCCGGTTCTAGGCCGAAAAGGATGAAACATCGCCCAGTAAGAGCTCACATGGTATGAGGTTTCTTCCTCTTCCATGCAAAGTCTACACGTAGTGGGATCATTGTGTAATCCCATTACATGAAGGTGTTTCAGCAAGCAGTGCCCCGTTAATAATCCCACAATGGTGGATATTTGGGGCCTTGCGAGTTGTAGTGCCTCAGTAGCCATGCGTGGGTTTGGTCTCCTTAGCATGAGCTTACTGATTCTGTGCCCTCTTATCTGTTGCCAGTGAATTTGGTGTTTTATGGTTATTCACCTGTTCATTGCCTGTCGAACAGAGGTTTTGCTTATCCCAAATACAGGTTCGGGTCCTGTGAATGGTAGATCTGATCCCTCTTTGGCGAGTTCATCAGCCTTTTCATTTCCTTGAATACCTTTGTGCCCTGTTACCCACGCCAGTTTTACCTTGTTGTGGGTTGCCAGATCATTTAGTATTTCAAGGCAGTTCCAGACAAGCTTTGACTTAAATCTGTTTGAATCAAGAGCCTTTAGTGGAGACCCATTCTCGACAGTCGTTTTTATTAGTGCGAATGCGAAATAGCGAAAATTCGGGTTGCAGCGATTCTTGGTCGTTCGATTTTATATTACGAGTGCGCTTTTGGCAACAAGTATGTTTTTGCCTTCGATTTAAAATACGAATGTATATTTCTGTGTTTAAGTGACATTATATTATAAACAAATTGTTAGTTATGATCGCATATAGAAATTTTTTAAACGTACTGTTATTGAATGCATTATTATCATTTAGTTTAAAAATTGACTCTATATTTGATTATAGTTTTAACTCCACCTGGAATAGAATTTAAACTTTTTGTTAGCTATTCCAATTCATTACAATAGTCTTTGTTCCCACTAATCATTGTAGGATGTATTTTCAAATATTTAACTAACAGGTTCTTGTGCAATCCTTTCTTAAACGTTTATTGAATATTTTTTGATTCTTTATTTGTAAAAATTTTTTAATACCGAGTGAAAATCTCAAATCTCTACTATTGACAGAATTAATTTGCTACATGTAAACTTTGACATATCCTACGGTTTTGCCTAATGTTCGCTCGCATTTAATGATCTTTTTCGTTCCTAATTTCGTAGTCCTTTTTCAGAGGAATCAAGAATAGTTTTAAATATGCGCATACGTTTTCAACTATTTGAATATTATGAATGCAAAGAGTGAAATACACTTGTCGAGGATAGGTCCCATGGAGACGAATTCAAAGCGAAGGCTTGCAGGTAATTTTTGGTCTAAATTTTTATTATTGTGTGTAAAGTAGCACTTTTCCCGAATGGGAATTTTCTGGCAAGAGCCGTTTGCGAGTGCACAAATCCAATGGAAAAATAGTGTTATATTACGGTGACCATAATTTTTTTAGAAAAAAAAAGTACAGCAAGGTTGTTTTCGAACGCATTCACCATTTTATAGAAATATCATGTCAACATTAAATAAAACACCAAATATGTTAATTTAAAAATACAATTTTTATTAAGTAAGGCATAATAGTGATATTAAACATCGAAAAATGTTAAACTAAAGCAAATAACATAAAAAGAATTTTACAAAGACTTTTCCACTGATGTACTTGGAAATTGATTATCTTTTTTAACATCCCCTTTTTTAAACCAATCGTATTTTTCTGAACTCAATATTGATTTGAGCATAGATGGGTTACTCTGAAGAAAATGAAACATTTCGTTACAAGTTTCGTCGAAA